CTCCTCTCTCTCCAATCTCTCATGTCATATATACAATTACATATGTATAATATACAATTATCTAACCAATATACATATGCAATTCACTTTTCTCCCACTCTTTTCCCCTCACTTTCGCCTCTTTCCTTTCTTTCCCAGTCTCGCTCACCTCTCTCCTCCAAATAACATATAGCTACAAATTGTAATTATCAAACTATAGCTATAAAGAGTAATTCATTATTTTTAAGTGGCTATATGTGAAAGTTTCCCAATTATAAAAGTGTTTTTGAAAAATGGTAATAAAAAAAGTGTCTCAAGTGTCACAACTATAAGATAGCACCAAAAGTTAGAGGAATAAAAGGAGCAGAATCATCAAAAACGCAGCTACAATTCATGAGTTAAAATATAAAGCTAAAACACTCTAAATTGAACTCTTTCAGCTCTTACTTTCAATCAAAGATTAAGTTGAAGGAAACAATCTTTCCAAAAATCAGCTCAATTAGACAAGTAGCGAAGCGGGAATTGCTATTTTAAATTAGGTGCTAGGGTTTATGCGAAAATCAGTACTCTCTCACTTTTCTTTCTACTTGATACTTCAAAATAAGACTTAAAAAAAGCTTTACATATGCGAAAGTCTTATATATGCACCATAATAGTTGACTTATAAGCATAAATGAACTAGTCAAATAGGACTTAAATTAGAAAAGAAATTCAAAACCTTGGACTTTTATTTATCCACGCAAAAAGGAAAAAGACTCGGAACTCAAACACTATCTAGAATTCAAATATTCCATACTTGTGTCAAACTTGACCCTTATGATTCTATGTGTCCCTGTATTTCATACTGAAGGTACTTTTAATGTCGATTAGTATTACTATAGGTTTTGGAGAGAAAGATAATCAGTTGATTGCCTAAAGAATAAAAGTGTGCTAAATTTCATAATTTAAATAGCATTTGAAACAAAAGAAGGAAGTCATTCAATTAAACATTTGTTTCAGGATTACTTATAGTCAATCCTAAATGGGAATTCGTGTTGGGGTAGGAATAAGAAAAGGTAAATATGATAATTGTAGAGGAAATAGGAAAATCGAATAAAGTAATTATGGTAGGAAAAGCCTCCTATTATAAGTGTTGAGAAAAAAACAAATTTGGGTAGAATTTAGAGAAAATTACGTGGCTAAGCAAATTTATGTTATTTAATTATTCATCATAGCTACAGTTTGCTATAATTACCACTCGCGACTAACATTATACATTAATTACGTGGGCTAGCTTGGAGTTTGTATAATTAGTCATCTTTGTATATGTATAATTTGCTAGGATATACAAATACATATATATAATATGCAATTTTTTAACCTATATACACGTACAATTCACCTCTCTCCCACTCTCTGCCATCTCTCGCTCGCCTCTCTCCTCCTTCTCTCAATCTCGCTCACCTGTCTCCTCCCTCTCCCAATCTCGTTTGCCATTTGTACAAATGTATATGTATAATATACAGTTATATACAATTCACCTTTCTCCACTCTCTGCCCTCTCTCTCTCGCCTCTCTCCTCCCTCTCTCGATATCGCTCGCCTCTCTCCCAATATCGCTCGCCGCTCTACTCCCTCTCCCAGTATCACTAGCCTCTCTCCTCCCTCTCCCAATCTCTCTGGCCATATATACAAATAAATATGTAAAATATATACAATTATCTAACCAATATACATATACAATTCACCTTTCTCCCACTCTTTCCTCCCTCTCTCCCAGTCTCGCTTGCATCTCTCCTCCATATAACATGTAGCTACAAATTGTAATTATCAAACTATAGCTATGGCGAGTAATTAATTATTTTTAAGTGGCTATACGTGAAAGTTTTCCTATAATTTATGGGGTATGACAAATCATCTTATTCAATACGTAGGGATGGCAATTGGGGCAGCGTGGGGGCGGGGCGAGAGCTGGATGGATTGAACTTAATTCTCATAAAAATTATCTTTCCCAATTTGCATAACAATTTTTTCATTTTCAACAAGCATCATCCATTCCTCATAGACCCCATATATTAATAGTCAATATTTTCTTAACCTACATTGACTTTACTCATATTTGGAATATTTTATGGGGTATACCCATTATATATATTAAATTCTTACTAATTCTATATCTAAATTTATATGAATGCAATCTACAAATAGAAAATTTAAATACATTATCAAAGAGCGAGGATAACATACTATTTTTTCTTGGAGTGTGGTTTGTGGATCTCGTAGAGTAACAATTTTGGGGATAATAGTAGGGGCTTAAGACTTAAATAATGCATTATTAATTATAGAAGTTTGAATACAAGGCGTCTCAACCCTAAAACTACTAATAAAACCTCAAATTTATTCAATATTATATATATATATATATATATATATATATA